TAGTGTGAAGTTTTGCATAAATACTCAAAGCAACTGAGACACTGGAAAGCTACAGCTAGCACCAGATTAAAGTGGGGGTGAAGAGAAATGGAGAAAGGGAGAAAAGGGTAGAGAGATACCCTCTTATCTCAAAAGCAAGGGGTAGTGCTACACTACCTCTCCCTACTTTAAAAAAAAAAAAAATTAACATTTCCCCTAGGAGGGAGAATTACTGCTATCCTATTTCAACCTTCAGTAACTAAAGCTGAGACAGATCCAAGGCAAAGCAGGGGGAGAAAAGATACAGGGGCCTGAGGAGAGGAAAGGCCAGGGGGGAGAGAAACCAGAGCAGTCAGTGAGCTGGGAGAAGAAAAATGAAAGCAGGTTTAGGGGTGGCAGGAGGTTAAAAAGCAGAACCACAACCCTCTGCAGTGAGAGGCTGGGAAAAGGGAGGAGGAAAACTGGGCTCTGAGGGGCTGAACTGCTCCCGCGTCCCACAGGGCACAGAGGTGGCTCTGACCCCCGCCCCATGCAGCAAGCGGCCACAGCCTCCGAGTACCAGAGACACAACAGGGCAGCAGTCAGGTTAAGACTTAATTACATGTTAAAATACAGCCTTATGAATGTTTATTTTAGCCAAAAACCCCTCCAAACAAACAAACAAAAAACCCCAACCAAAACCCACAGCAGGCTCCTTCAGCTGTAGTCAGTCAGGAGAAGCTTCTAAGGGAGAGTAAATAAAACTACTGCTGAAACAAAGCAGCACCTCAGCATCCACACACGTTGGAGCCACCTCAACTGCCGAGACGCTGCCTTACCTTGCTTTTCCCTTTCAGAGCTGCCACCGGGCGGTACCGCCGCACGATGGAGAGGACGCTCCAGCCGAAGGCCACAGTCCGGACACAGTTATGGAGCTCTGTGAATGTCGGGAGACCAGTCTGAGAGCCACGACGCCCCATCCTGCCCAAGGGCCTCATCCCAGAGCCCAGTTCATTACCACAGCGGCCGCCTCAGCTTGGAGTTCTCCTCGCTAGGAAGGTAACAGCAGGGGGTGTAGCATGAGGGGAAAAAGGCAGGAAACAGGGCCAAACAGGGAGGAGGCAGGGAGCTCACGCTGCACCAGCTCTCCTCAGCGAGCCTCGGCCCTGAAGAAGCCCCGGCCTCGTCCATAGAGCCCTCCCTTCACACCTCCGGCACGGGGCTTGGAGGGAGGAGCCTCTTCCACTGCGTCGTCAGAGCGCAGCTGCCCTGCGGCGTGAGGAGAGCCACCATGACAGGCTGGAAGGCAGGCGCTGCTGGGCAAACCTCTCCGATTTCTCCCCCTGCTGTGAGGGTCAGGGGTTTATTTATATTATTATTATTATTATTATTATTATTTTAGTACAACAGCTGTCAATCAGCTTGCCCCAGTATCATGGCTATTTTCCCAAATTAGCACCCATGACTGCTCAACAGGTTGAAAACCCAGGCCGCCCTTACAGGTAAGTTTATTTTGTGGGTTTGGGTGGCCAGGCGGAAGGTGCAGGAGTAATTCCAGAGAAACGCTCCCCACGTTTTCCTGGAGTAATGTAATGACTTGTTTTCTGTACTTGGTTTGCCTGCCTTTTGCCAGCGAAATGCAGCTCTGAGGGCCATCTGCAGCCTGGCTCCACGGGGAGGAGACCAGCTTTTATCCAAATGCTGTGGTAACCTCTGCTGGCTGATCCTCGCTGTTGCACCGCTACTAGAAGTAAGCTTGTTAGGCTGACGCAAGTCATTGACCAGACAAAAAGACATCAGAAGAGGTATATCACATTTGCTTATCCTTACTTTTGTGTGCATTTGCTTCCACGTAGGATCGGGATTTTTTAATTTAATGTGTATTTTTAAGGCATCAGCGATTTAGATAAAATAGGACCCTCTTCATCCACGTACAGGTTTATTTGCTCAGATAGCACAACTTTTATTACTAAGCAGCTCTGTAACTGTAGTTTGCAAATTATCTACATTTTCCAGTTTGAAGATGTGGATACAGCATACCCAGTGTCATCTCACACAGCTGATAGGTGCATTTTTATGTATATGACAGTCAGTAATTTAGGATGCTGGAGTGGCTGGGCACCTGTGACTTACACTCAGCCAACTTCTTCAAATAGTGGAATAGTGGTTTATTTTTGTCTGTGTGTGTAAGACAGGTATTATTCATATGAATAGGTACATTAAAGGCTCCAGGTGAGGCCACAGTCAGAATTTGTAGGAACTACAAATGTAGAGTTGTCTGCTTGCTCTGAGGAGTTTAAAATACTAAAAAAAGAAATTTTGTGCTGGACAAGAACAGAATGCAGACAATTGACATATAATTTATGATTCCCCTTCACCTTGATTCCTGTTAGTGTGCCTTACTCTGTAGGTACACGCAGAGAGACAGAAAACACACTGGACAAGTGAGAGTCGGATTTTAGTGGAAGCTTCCATTAAACTGGCAAGAAATCAGGTGCTAATCTTTATTTCAACCATTAATAGTAGAAGCAGGTTAATTGTAGTCTCACAGGTGAACTAACGGCCTGCCTCCCATTCTGTGTACAACTATAGCTTGTGGTCTTTATCTCCTTAATTGAAATACATACTGGAAAAGCATCTAAAAGGCAAGCTTTTCAACCAGAATTAATTGCTTGCCTTTCTCTACTCTGCAACTTTGGGTTTTTTCACCATAGGCGAAACAGCAGACCACAGCAGCAAACACGGTTCAATCTGAAAGCATCCTGAGAATTCTTTCTTAAGACCTATACTGCTAAATCTACTAAGAAACATGATTTCTAAGAAAAACCTGTGGCCATGACTGCCTCGAAAATGGAAAACAACACGTAGACAATATGCATGTTGCTACAAGTCAGACCTTATTTCACCAAAAATAGATAGAACTGCCTGTTTAATTAGGTATGGATCAAAAATGAAGAACTAAGTACTTTTCTGTCATTCCCTGCAGGTTTTGAAGTTGGCATATTTCCCCCTCTGCATATAGTTAGTTGTTTGCCTCGGGCTGTAAAGAAATGCAGAGGACTCTTATTAAAGCACCAATAATTTGCTGAGCTCGATCTTTTGTGGAACTTGCTGAGTTAGAGAATTCCTTTTCACCTCCTCCCCCACCTCTCCTTGACTAGACTAACTGAAGAACAAATACCAGATTATGGTGCTAGGTTAAAGGAACTAGTGTGTTTGCAGTTTAAGTGATTAGCACAAGACAGAACAAATCCTAAAGCTCAAGCCTGTGCAGCTAAGTGACAAGGGAAGTCAAAAGTGTTTGCTTTTTAAAAGCATATCATAACAAAGACTCATGTTTAGGATTTGCTGTGCTTACTATTCTAAAATTGACTACTAACATAGTTTGTTAGAAAGTTCTCCAAGTGATGAGAGCCTGAACAATTACAGGAGATAGCGTGAAGAATTACCACTACAATGAGTGAGATTCTCAGAATGCAAAAACCATGATCCCAACTCATCAATTGTTTAGTGTTGGCCTCAAGCCAGAAGTTTGCTTTTGCATTTTCAGACATGAAAAGCCCATGACAGTAAGCATTTTTATCCAGTTCCCCACGTACCATTCCAATGGAGCAGTACAGCAGGTTCTTTCAAGGCCAACAGCTCAAGTTTACATTCAGCTAAAATGGCAGTTGCTGCTTTGCCCTTCTGCTGTAGATAACTCTTTCCAAATCAGTACAGCCAAATACTATACCTGTTCCTCATTAGATGTCAGCCACTACCATTTTTCACTAGCATTCTTTTAAACTACAGAAATCAAGGAGTACACAACCCATTCAATTATCCCCAGCATTGACCTCAGTGCACATGAGCAGAGCTGGTTGCTCCATCAAATGCTCTCATTAAATCTGCTGCCAAACACAAGTCAATGACCTGAGTCTCTTAGCTGACAAATAGAAAGGAGATGTCAGACAACCACTGACAACCAGAGAGTCCCCAGGCTTTTTTGCAAGAGGGATGGACATCACTTAAACCACACAGAAGCATTACCAGGAAGCACAGATTTGACGTTTTTCTCCAACATGAAGCAGTTATTTGCATTCCTTTCCCTGCTTAATCTACTTTTGCAAGGGGCCAGATCTTTGTGTGCACCATTGAGAGAAACATGCTCTTTGCTTAGACTGAAATGAAATGGATGTCCCGTTTCCCTCTACTTGCTTGCTTTTGTTACACATATTCCAGTTAGTGCCCCCGCTGCATTCTTCAAACTTACATTTTGGTACAGTTGCCTTATAGTTCAAGGAAAAACATGAGAACAGGCAGTAGTTTGGATCACAGATAATTTTTTAATGATTTAACATATAGTATAGACACTAGTTGAACAGCTCAACAACCAAGGAGGGAGGATGCCGTTTCTGTCCCATTGAATGGGCAATGTTCACAATGCACTTCTGATCACATTCTGTTTTTCTAGAAGAGAAGGGGGCCAGGAATTCCCACTAATGTTGTCCAAATTAGGTTGGTTCTTAGGATTTCTTACCATTACTGCTTCAAGCAGTGGTATCACCTGCTAAGTAATTAATACCGAGTTTAAAAAAAAGCAAGAGCAAGCCATCAGTATCTTGATCTCAGCAGTCGTTTGTGCAAAACCATAAAGTGCTGGAATACATCTCAGCGGGAATGAAATAACAGACCAACCTGATGGCCTTCCCTGAGGAAAACAGTTAGAAAGTGCTAGAACAGGGGTGAAGAATCTGTTTAACAGTGGAAAGAGAATTAACCTCTGCTACCCTCTGAAGACAGCATTTCACACTGCATCTTCACGCTGTATCGTGTCCACTGCAGTGAGTTGCCATAGGAGGGCAGCAAAGGGGAGACAGATTTTCAGCTGGATAAACTGTTAATGCTAAAGCTTTTAAGCTTTTGGAAAAAACAAAATTTTCAAAAGATTCTGCTGGCAGAACCATTATGTCACTGATAACTTCTGGGAAAGAACATGGGAAAGAACAATGAAAACAATGCAAGTGGATTTTATCAGATGGCTGGTAACACTACTACTTTTCTATATCATACGTAATTGCAATAGCATTCTACAGATATTTTGCTCCAGGATACTCCACCACTGTGCCTTTTTTTTTTTTTAAAGCCTTTGTTTTATTTCAGTCAGGGAATAGGACGTACCACTATAAACAAGCATACACACAGTCAAAATCATGGAGGAGATGGATGTATATAGAAAAGAACAGCCCAGTTTTATCTAGCGCTTGGACTTCACCCAGCGACTCGCAGGGGGAACACAAATTTAGCCAGCATTTTACAGGCTCTCTGCCATCTTTTCTGTGCTGAGTGGCCTTAAGAGGGAGACAGTTTAAATTGCAACTTTAGAGAGCTAGGAGAAATTGTGGGAAAACCAACCCTGTTCTAGTGCCACTGTGATCAGAGTGAAGTTCCAGAGTAGCGTGTCAAACAGCAAATCAAAATCATCATGACCATTAAACTGAACTCGTGCAACACAGTTGTCCTCAGAGGAGGGCTTGTGCCATCTTCTGACATTACTTCACGCACAAGGACATCATTAAACTGAAATCCTAGTACAACTCCACCCTTTTGCCTCCTGCACAACCAGGAGTGAAGTACATTTGAATTACCGAGGCCTGAACAAGTTCAAGCAAACAAATCTTCAGTGCTCCCTGTCAGACCGTGGACTAGCAGAGAGCTGTTTACAAGACTAAGACTCCTCTTCGAGGAAACTGTTGCAGAGTAACAAGGGAAGTGTTTACAGACAATAAACATCCCATCCTAGGCAGACCCCTGCTCTTCTCTCGTGCTATGGGACTTTGACAGAATAACAACTCCATTGGAGTTCTAAATGCTTTAAACTCACTAAAGAGGAACATAAGCACTACAGTGACAAATCCCAATACAATTCCTTTAGACTAAGGAGGAAAAAACCAACCAATTTTAGTCAGGACCGGAAATATCCTTTCTACCTGACATAACAAACCAGGGACTGAAAGGCATCAACAACTACCTATGCAAAGCATCAATACTTCCAGCTAGTAATCCATATAAAATGAATAAATAATTCATAATTACATACGTAGTGTACACCATGCATGGCAAGAAGCGCTCCAGAGAAGCACAACAGGCATGCTTTACCCCCCAAAAGCAAAAGTCCTCCAATTATTACTGTCACTCTGGAAAGTCTCTGGACTGCAGAGACACAACTGAACATCCACGTACAGCTGCAAAGCTACATGAGATATTTTTCCTATGATGTTTTATAGCCTAGATCGACTCCGTGCATCCTAAAGTTTAGAGGAAATATTTAAAGTACTAATACCTAGTACTCTAAAGCAGGTGCATAACAAACTGAAGAAAGCAAGATTCAATCCCGAAGAATTTCAGTCCCTTGCTTACACTGTACACCTCTGGGTTTGTCCCCAGAAACAACATCAACCATTTACACTGAGGCTCCTGTAAGGCAGCAGCTGTCGTCTTGCTCTTTTGGATTCTAGTCTCCAGGTCCTTCCCTTTGTTGCTTAGATCATGCAGCTTTCAGACAGGCAGAAGCTCTGGGGGATATTCACCATAGCAGTATTTTGCAATTGGATCTCTATAGGTGTTCTCATGCTGCACACTCTGTCAGGAAGAGGAGGAGAAGCTTTAACAATGCCCTCATATTGAAACAATACATCCCTTCACTGAGGACCAAAACCCAGAGCATTTACACCTATGCAAAAAGTTTCCCAAATCCTTCTACACATTAGACTATAATTTGGAGTCAAAAAGCACTGCACTCCCAGTTGCTGTATTATAGCACTTCAATGTTGAACCATACCCACAACCTCTTTTTCAGGAGACTACCCAAGCAGGTGGGAACAGATTCAATATTGAAAAAAAAATTATATATGCTTAGGCAGTATCATCAAACGGCCTAAGGAAGCAAGGCATAATAAAGTTGCTGCTTGAGATGTGTGCATTTTTCTTGATAAAGCCAGAGTTCGGATACTATGATTAAAAAAAACCAGAAACAAAAAAAACAAACCACAACTTTGGAAACATTTGGAACTATGTCCTTTTGTTTGCAATCCATCCCTATTGCTGTATTAAATACTCGGGCTGTATGACATCTCCAACAGCACTTTCTAAGAGGGCCGATGCTTGCTTAGACCAAAACTTCTAATAAAATCACATGGGTAACAGAAGTTCACCTCTTCTTAGAAAGCAAAAAAATTACAACATACTTTTTGAGTTACTATGCAGATGATTGTCAGCATATGGCAAGTCTAAAAATATACCATAAACAGCATTCTGCAGCTACTAAGAACAACTCTCGCTGTTCTCATCCTCACAAGATCCTCCCCAGAACTCACCCGAGATCTTCACCAGTCGTTGAACTCAGCTAGTCTCTTTTTAGTTAAGTACCTCTTTTTTAAGGAGAGCGTACAACTCGTCCTGCTCTAAATATGCACTTTGCCCTCCACTTGCTGCTGCTGTTACTATTTCACCTTACAAATCAGAGGATTGCCTTCAGATTAGCTCTCAGCCATAGCTTCAGCATTTATGAAAATGCCTGTGTACATGCAAGCACAACAGACCAGCCATTTGCAGGACCAAGCCCCATTTCCCAAGGGCACTTTTGGGGTATTTTTCCATTTCTGAGCCCTGTACATGTACTTGTGTCTTACCTGTGATGAAGTCCTACATTTCGCCAGACACAACTCAAAGCGATCTTCCACTGCCATGAAGAGGTTTTGGAAAGCAATAGCCGCCCGGTTCAAGAAACGTTCCAGGAGATGTTGCTGAAGTGGTTAGCAAAAAAGACAACAAAACGGAAAGATACAAACACCATACTTCAACAGGGAGTAATCAAAGCCACCTTAACCTACAGCTCAAATATCACTGGAACAGTAAGTGACTTCACTTAGAATTTCTAACAAGCACGGAAAGGTTAACAGATCACAGAACCTCAGCAGTAGGAAGAGTATCTAGAGAAGCTAACAGAATGCAGCAAAGCGCCAATCACAAAACTGATACTGGCTGGAATCACTTTTCTGCAACCATTTCCCTTCAGCAAATGCAATTCCCCCAAAGCTGAAACATTTTGCAAGGCTCTCAGTATTTCCTCTCAAAGGTAGGAAGGATGGATTTTTTTTTTAAAATCTTTATTTACAGCTTGCCATATGGTCCTTGCAGGCTTTCCTCATCCTGCCAAGAAAAGGAACTGCCTCCTCTAAGGGAAAAGCCCCTCACAAACAAGCACTTTAAGCCACAGAGGAACCTGAGAACACCTGAAAAGCAGGAAAAAGTCTGTGCACCTTGTTGGGCTGCAGGCAACAGGAAACACAGTACTCATACACGCTGCAGCAGCCATTGGGAAGGCAGCTGTCGCAGCTGTACAGCTTCGTACTGGGCACGTTGACATTGCAACAGCCATTTACCAGTAGGTCCTTCCTCTCACAGATGTAGCCTGAAAAACAAAGACAGTAGTAACAACTGGTAAGACATACTCCCTTGTACGTTCTATAGAAATGCTATAGTAAGAGTCACGTTACTTAAGAAGAGGTTTATTTATCATTCAGTAGAGTATGATCCCCCTCAATCTGGCTGAAGCCCTAACTAGCAATTCTCTGAAATAACACTCGTAGAGCTGAGTTTTACTACAATCTGGTGCTATCTGTACGACGGTTATGTACCTACTCTACTATGCTGTACATACAGCATGAGTCTTTAAATGCAGAATATTTAAGTTCTGATTTCTTTCTGGCATAATTAATTGTTGTGATTGGAAGGGGAAAGGTGATTGGTGGTGACTGTACTGGAGAAGACTATGACATGCGTTCTTTCAACCAGTCTATGTCTGGATAACTCCCTTTATAGCTCAATATGAAGAAACTTAGATTTATCCACACAGGACAGCTGTAATATTAATTGTTGAGAGGAATCCTTAATAGTATAGAATCAGAGATTACGTCCCTACAGAAACTGTACCACCACAGCCTTAGAGTGTGAAAGATATCCATGATCCTAGAGACCTTAATGAATCAGCAGTAAGCATAATTCAGGCAGCGCTACATTTAGTATTGATGCAAATCACAGAAGATGTGGTGTTTTTTCTACAGCCTTGATTTCTGGTCAAGAAGGGCCCAGTGCCTGAGCAGCAAGCACGCTGGGGAAGCATACGTGCATGGCAGGAAAGGCTCCATACACTTAAAACAAGTGGTTAATTTGAGAACCTGCAAGAGATATGCTTGGGTTTACAAGGGTCAGATGAGCTTGTTAACTGTGACTGAGCACTAATTATGCCAGTCCTGAGCTGCCTCCATACAAGGCCAATCAGGTTTCCCCAATTACTCTCCCTAACATACCTGCAGGGAGACACAAAAAGCTCTGCAAGCAGCAACACTAAGTTGAGCAGGACTCAGCATCTGAGTTCTGTGCAAAAGTAACTGGAGTTCTTTGAATCTAAGGCAGCTCTGGAAACATTACAGCTGCACTCATAAGGTACTGTGCCTGAGCTGAGTCCAGCTGGACCCAAGCCTGCCCTGCAAAGAATTAGATCAGCAGTGGCTGCAGCCACCACAAAATGAATCCAGTCTGAGGATAAAATGCCAACAGCTGAAGTTCCGCAGTAAGAATGCCTTAATAAAGAGCAGTCGGTACGTGGAAGCGCCATCAACAATCAGACAGGCAAAGCAGCGTTCAACACTGCAATAGGCGGAATAAATTCTTAGTATCAAGTATACCCAGTTCATCTGTAATGAGGAGCTTCCCCTGCACAGAATTCCTGCACTGGTTACTCAGCTGACTGCTGTTCCCCGAACTGAACTTCACCTTCCACATGATCGGCTGCTCATGCTCTTGCACTTGGAGGAGATTCCGATCTCTCACCATCCTTTCTTCCTGCAAGGAAAGACAGCAATGCACCCAAACATGCAAATTCCTTCTGCCATCCCAATCCACATGCTTTTCCCACAATTAGAAGTGCCGCAGTTGTAAATTCAAGGGGCAATGGAGTAAGCAACACCTTACTTGCAGTACCTTAACTTTTCACTATACACAGCATAATCCAAGTAAAACGGGGCTACGCAAGTTCACCACAGGATCAGCTAATGCAGCCAAACGCGGTTACAACCACCACCAAAGTAGCATGTGTTAGATTAAATAGCCATAGGTACACCTATTTCTCTTTTGCAAAATCTTCACTGATGGAATTACAGTTCACCAGATACTGCAACAGAATCACCAAGTCCCTTTGAGATTTTTTTTTCCTGGTTTTGGTTCAAAACACTATTGCTGTCAAATACAGTATGAGACATTGCTTTTTTTAAACTCGTCTTCAATAATTAAGATGCAACTCTTACGGCAACACATCCCCGGAGTTCAGTGACTTACAGAACAGAAGTTGCCCTGGGATGCGGGATTTTTTTAATCCGCGCCCCAGTGCGCCGGGACCGCGCATCCCGCCGGCGGCTCCGGGGAGGGCACTGACCTGCTTGAAGGTGCTACTGAGGAAGTAGACGAGGGAGAGCCCGAAGACGACGCC